CCTGGCCCGTGACGGCGACGATGCGGCGAATGCCCTTGGCGACGGCCTCCTCAGACAGGATCGTGAATGGACCAATGTCCCCAGAGTTCTTCACGTGCCTGCGCAGCAGCGACGACGGTGGTGAGGGATGGTGAACGATGAATGTTGCGAGCAAGTCAAATGGGAGTAGGGAAAGGGCAACAGCGCTTCTTCGTCCTCTTCTGCTTCCATCGACTCAGACACAGACACACACAGACACACACACACACATTCGATTGTACTCACGTTCCACCGCAAAACTCGACCGAGTAGTCGACAGCATAAGAGGCGGCTGGGTCAGCAACCATGTCGTCGATGCTTGCACCCACGGAGAGCACACGCACGGGATCAGGGTACGTCTCGCCTGCAAATCGCAATGGTAGTAGTACACAGTGGTGTGTGGTGTGACAAAGCACGGGAAGGGTGATGGGTAAGGTGAGCAGGTTGGTAAAGGCAGCGGCGGCAACGGCTGAAGCACAGCGCAGCAGTGCACAACATGACAGGCATGGCACAACACGGTACCACACACGATGTAACACGATACGACACGACACGGCAACAACAAAGCAGACGGGTGTGGTGTGGTGTGTGTGTCCGCACCGAACATGGCGCGGAGGCCGTTGATGGCGCGGGCCTGGGCGAGCGGCGTGTCCTTGTCGTAGACGGTGTAGTTGGCGTTGACAATCTTGTTGACCACCTCCTCCGTCTGCTTGAGCTGCTCTGGCGTCATGCCCTTCTTTGCCGTAAAGTCAAACCGAAGGCGCTCGGGCTCAACAAGGGAGCCCTGTGTGGAATGGCAATTGTAGTTATGTGTGTGTGTTGGTGTGTTGGTGGGTTGGTGTGTTGGTGTGATAGTGTGTGTGTGTGTGAGAGAGAGAGAGAGAGAGAGAGAGAGAGAGAGAGAGAGAGAGAGAGAGAGAGAGAGTGTGTGTGTGTGTGTGTGTGTGTTTGTGTGCGTACGTGTGTAACTGAACCATGAACAAGCGAAGAAAAGATGCAGCGTAACCATCTCCCGTCACCATAACACAACCGTCGTCACCTTCTGGTCTGCCTCGCCGAGGACGGAGCGGAGGGCGTAGTTGAGCACGTGCGTGGCCGTGTGGTTCGACATGCACGGCCGGCGGCGCTGACGGAATGCGAACCATGCGGGACGTGGGTGTGAGATGTGGTCCAACACGAACACGTGTTGGGCAATAACGGAGTGGGCGTGCAGATGGTTACGTATGTGTTCGCGCACGTGTGCGTGTGCGCACGCGCTTGCGTTGGAACGGGAATGCGAGCGAGTAAGGAGAAAACAAAAAACAAAAACCCGCGGTCGCAGTGCAGAAATGACATGATACGACACGATGCGTCACATCGCATCACATGACACTCGTGTGAACGTACGTCGTGGTCAAACTTGAGGGTGAGCTTGTCGCCAACCTTCAGCTCGCCCTGGCGACGGCGGACAGGGACGATTGAAGGAGGGGGGGGGCATAGGGTGATGACAAGTGCATTTGCGAGTGATAGTATTAGTGTGAGCGCAAGTGTGAGCGCGAGTGATTTTCTTGACCAGCGGGATGGCGTGCACAAAAAAAAAAAAATACAAAAAAAAACCCCCCCGGTTCAACCCAAACCCAAACCCAAACCCAAACACGCAGTACGACGGCACGCCGCACCTGTGCGAGGGTTGCGACGTGGAGGCAGTAGGCGCCGCGCTTCTGCACGTTGAAGACGTCCAACTCAAGGGGGGCGCCCGTCGTGCTTTCAAAGCGACCAGTGTCGTAAATCTGAGGTGGTGGTGATGGTGTGGAAGGAACCGTGAAAGGATGAACAGAGATGGGAGGGTTGGTGGACGGATCTCGAGCGAACGTTTGCACGGATGGACAGGTAGACATGGAGACCGCACACAGACACACACAGACACACACAGACACACAGACACACAGACACACAGACACAGACACACACGCACGGACACACACACACATACGCGTACACACGCACAAACATACGCGTACATATACACACACACGCGCGCAAACAAACACAAGCAACACCACAAGCCGCACCTGGCCACCCTGCTCAGCGTAGAAGTTTGTCTTGTCGAGGACCACGCCAACCGGGAGCTCCTCGTCGTCCTCGGAGACGGACACGCGGTCCACAAGACCGCCCTCTTCCGTCAGCAGCGCAAGCACCGTGCCCTCGGCATCGCTGAACGAATACGATCCGTTCTCATCGCGGGTGTACGCATACTTGGCACTGGTGTTGCGTGTGTGTGTGTTGGGTGGGAGGGGGAGGGCAAGACAAGCGGAAGACGGAGAAAAGAAGAAGGCAGCGTGAACTTCAGGCTTTTCTCACTGAAATCTTGATTTACACACACACACACACACACACACACACACACACACACACACACACACACACACACACACACACACACACACACACACACACCCCTCGTACAGCACCACAATTGACAGTGAGCGTACGCGTCATCGGTGCCGGGGACACCCTTCTTCTTGAGCTCGTCGAGCGTGTTGACGTCCAGGTCGAGGTTCGTCTCCCCAGCAGCGCCGCCGGCACGCGAAATCTATCGCCCGCAGTTCAAGGGGGGGGGGGGAGGGATTGTGAGGTTGGAGATGAGTTGAGGATGGGTTGCGGTAAGCATTCCGGGCACGCACGCACGCACGCACACACACGCTCAAGGGTTGGAAGAGAGTGAACGCGAAGTTACAAGGATGTACACAAACACAGAAACCCATCAAACACATACACACACATGATTGCGTGTATGCACACTGACCTCGACGGCGCGGGCCTTTGCGGCCTCAAATCCGTCCATGTCGACCTTCAGGCCGCGCTCCTCAGCCATCACAACTGCACACGCATGGTGAGGGTGAATGACGTGAAGATTGTGGTGGAGATGGAGGCAGCGGTAGAAAGACAGGCGGATGTACACACATTCACACATTCACGCACACACACACACACACACACACACACATTCACACCCACCCACACACCCACACACCCACAAAAGCAAACACAGGTGTGCAATTTGGTGCGGGGGCGTACTTGTGAGGTGGATGGGAAAGCCGTATGTGTCCCAGAGGCGCCAGGCCGTGTCGCCGTCAATGACACCGTCCTCGCCAACAGCGGCAACGGCGCGCTTGAAGTAGCGGCGGCCACGCGACTGATGCAATGGTGGTGGTGGTGGTGGTGTGAGAACAGCGCAACGAGAACAGCGTGATGACAAGCAGAACAACAACAACAACAACAACAACAACAACAACAACAACAACAACAACAACAACAACAACAACTACTACTACTACTACTACAACAACAACAACAACAACAACAACAACAACAACAACAACAACAACAACAACAACAACAACTACTACTACTACTACTACTACTACTACTACTACTACTACTACTACTACTACTACTACAACAACAACAACAACAACAACAACAACAACAACAACCGCAAATTTAACAAGCCTTCATCTCCACCAACCCCTCCAAGAAACCCATCCAATCCACCCAAAGCATGCACGCAAGCAAGCCATGCAATCATCGTACGAGGGTGCGGCGGAACTGCCTCTCCTCCTCCTTCAGGACGGCAATTGTCTCCTCGGGGTCCTTCCTCAGCTCGGGGAACGCGTCGCCAAGCACGTCCACCACCACCGGCACCAGCGACGCAAAGAAGTACTCGGGGGCACCGAGATACTCCTCGCAGAACCTGCAGCAGCAGCAGCAACAGCAGCAGCAGCAGCACGTGGGTTTCGTGTGAGGGGAGCGAGGGGGTGTTGGGTTGTTGGTGGAGTGAGTGTTGTCGCGGGGAGACGGGTGAAGCAGGGTGTGCTAGCAATGAATGTGCAAGCGTGTGTGCGAGGACACATGGCGAGTGGTTCATCACCACAGCACAACTTGTCACAACACAACATAGCACAGCACCATACGAGTCAATGTGCGCACCTGATGGCACGGCGGAGGACGAGGCGGAGAATGTATCCACGCCCGTCCTTGTCGGGACGACCGCCTGATGGAAGAGGGGGGGGGGGGAGCGGTGGAGGTGGGGATGGAGGGGAAGGCGAAGTCGTGGTGGTGAGGTGGTGGAGATGATTTCAAGGCCGCGTGGAAGCAAAGGAAACGAACAAAGGAACACACACCACAACACATCACACCACAACACACCACACCACACCAAACACAACACAAAATCACAACACCACACCACACCACAACACACAGCGCGCCGCACCGTCGGCGATGGCGATGCAGAGGGTGCGGATGTGGTCGGCCACCACGCGGTAGGCCGTGTCAACCATGTCCGTGTCAGCCTCGTTCACCTTGCCCGTGTACTCCCTGACGACACCCGGGACACGTGGTGAGCAGCCATGGTGGATCGTCTCAAACGGGAGGGAAGGACAAATACCGCCAAGGAAGTGACAAAGAGTCACACACGTACACGCACACGCACATGCACGCAAACATGCACTCGTACGCGCCCGCACACACACCTGCACACACACACACACCATCAACCATCAACCTGCATCACCATCACCACCGTCACGAGCGTCACCAGTGTCGTGTCGCACCTGCAGCCGCACTTCTCCTTGATGGCGGCGAAGATGGGGAGGAAGAGGTCGGTGTCGTAGTTTGACGTCTTGTTCTGCAGCACGGAGAGGATGCGCTCAAGACCCATGCCCGTGTCCACGTGCTGGGCAGGCAGCGTCTTCAGCACGCCGTTGCCCTCGTTGTTGTACTGCATAAACACGAGGTTCCAGCTGGCGGCGGCGGCGGTGGTCATGTGTGATGTGATGATGAGGAAGAGGAACGTTGAATGGCACATGCATGTGGACACAGTGGCCAAAACACAAAGACACGGACACACACACAGACAGGCACACACAGACAGGCACACAAACACACCCACACACCACACACCACACACCCACCCACCCACACACACACACACACACACACATAGTATGCAGACACACACACACACACACATAGTATGCAGACACACGGCAAGCAGCCTCACATCTCGAGGACGTCTGGGTCGTCCATGTTGACGAGGTGGGATGCGTCGCGGCCGCCAATGCGGTCGTAGTGGATCTCCGTGCACGGCCCGCAAGGACCCGTCTCACCCATCTCCCAGAAGTTGTCCTGGCGAACACGGAGAGGTAAGGGGGAGGGGGTGTCAGCATTGGAGGGTGTGAAGTTGGGGAAGGGAGAGGAGAGGGGGTTGTTGAGGCACACTGCAATACACACACACACACACACACACACACACACACACACACACACACACACACACACACACACAGGCACACACAATCACTGCACCTTGCGGTCAAAGGGGAGGATGCGCTCTGGCGGGACGTGCTTCATCCAGAGGCTGCGCGTCTCCTCGTCGGCCGGCACCACGCTGTCGCCCTCAAAGTACGTGATGTACAGCCGGTTCGGGTCAAGCTGTGGTGGCAAAGGGCGTTGGGGATTGGCGGTGTTGGGTGTTGGGGGGGGGGGTACATGTGAGACCATACAGTGAAGGTGGACGAGTGGATAGCACACTCACGAACGCGTGTACACATGCACGTGCACACATTTACAAACACACACGCACGCACACACGCACGCACACACGCACACACACACGCGCGCGGACACACACGTGGTGAATTCTGACCTGGAAGACGTTGGTGAGGAGATCCCAGGAAAAGTCGATGGCTTCCTCCTGTCAATTCGCAGGCAGTGCATGCATTCACGGTGTCAGTGGCATGCAAGCATGCAAGAAAGGCAGCGTGTGTTGAACACATGTGTGCACAGACACACATACACACACGTACGCACATGCACGTGTTCACGCATGCAGGCACAAGACGTATTCAGAACATCATCCCGCACCTTCCAGTAGTCGCCAAAGGACCAGTTGCCGAGCATCTCAAAGAAGGTGTGGTGGTACACGTCCTTGCCGACGTCGTCTAAAGACGGTGGTGGCGCGCAGTGGATGAAGCGATGGCGCGACGTCAGGGTGCCCGTCAATCTCAAGTACACGACAAGCGAGACACGCGCACACGCACGCACGCACGCACACACGCACACACATACACACACTCACACACACAAGCACGCACACACACACAGACACACAGACACACTCCACACAACCACACACACACACCCACAGCTTACCGAGGTCGTTGTGCTTGCCGCCGGCGCGGATGCACTTCTGGCTGTTGACTGCGCGGGTCAGCTTGCCCAGATCCGTGTCCTTGCTGTCCGTGCCAAGGAACTTGGCCTTGTACTGTCAGCCCATCGAAGGGAGGTGTGGATGCACGAGGAGGAGGAGGAGGAGGAGGAGGAGGAGGAGGAGGAGCGAGGATCGGTGAGCTTGGTGAAAGATGGTGAAGACGTGACGCCAAAACCACATGATCGGGAGCGCATGCATGCAACAGCACGACGCGACTTGTCATTGTTACCTCACCATCCGTCCCTTTGCACGCACGCACACATGCACGCACGAAATGTGGAACAAACCTGGTTCATGCCAGCGTTGGCGAAGAGGAGGGTGGGGTCGTTGAAGGGGATGGTGGAGGAGGAGGGCCAGAACTTGTGGCCGCGCTCCTCAAAGTAGGAGATGAACTTGCCGCGAACCTTGTCCGCAGTCCATGTTGTCGTTGTCCTTGAGGATGGAAGGAACAGCGAGAAACAAGAGCAAGAGGTGAGAGAAGCAAAACAAGAGACGAGAGACAACATGAGAGTGGTGGCATGGGTGAGCGTAATCATGACGATGACGATGTTATCTTCGATCACAGGTTCACATGCAACACAAACTCACTCAGACATGATGGTGGTGGCTTCTTGCAGGTGTCTCTGAGGAGAGATCAAGCGGGAAGCGCGTGCGGTTCTGGTGGAGGTTGAGAAGATGGAGGGGACACAAACAGTCACGCCTCGATGCAACTGAGCAATGATACGCGACGTGGTGGCCTGTAATTCGGTCAAGGGAGAGGATGGGCGAGGGGGAGGGGTTAGGGGAAGGGGATCGTCAGTGCATGTGTGTGTGTGTGTGTGTGTGTGTGCGTGTGTGAGGTGGCAGGTGGAACAGGTGGAAACGATTCGGCACAGGAATCAAGCACATAAACAGCCCACACACAAAGCAAACATGAGGTTCGCCACCCACACACACCAGGTGTTATGTTACACGCAAGAATGACAGCAACACACGCACACCGCACACAGACTGACTCACTCGTTCTTGGTCGTGTGTGTGTGCGTACGCGTGTGCGAAAATGACAACCAGCCAGTTTGCGCGTGGTGGGCGGCCCGCTGAGATTGCGCAACACGACACTACATGTAGTAGTAACGTCAGCGAAAAATACTTGAAAATGTCAGTGAAAAGTCGATGAGAGAAAGTTTGGAAAATTTAAGATAACATTAATAAATTATCTGCAGAACAAGGCAAACACAAACAAGTGCGTGTATGTGTGCTTTTGTGTGCTCGGTCTTCGTCTTGCCTTCTTCTCTTCTAGTCTTCTTGTGTCCTCCTCTCCTCTCATCATGCATGCTGGCTGGCTTTCTTTGCATGCGTGTTTGACTGTTCACAAGATTTACTCGTTTCCACTGCTTAGCGTTGATGCTTCATGCAGACAAGTCACGATGATCACGATAAATAATGTCCTATCAAGCCTGCTCACCTCAAAGGCCTGCTACTTGCTTCTGCTGTTTCTGAGGCTGCTTCTGCCGCAGTGGGTGCAGTGCCCTCGTGCAGTCTGTCACGCACGGGCATCTGAGAAGTGCAGATGCACGATCACCATCCTCAACGTCGTCCAAACCAAGCAAATCATCCTTCGCTTTGTAGTTCTTCGGGAACGGCAATCCCAAACTCAAGCAACCGCCTCACAAACACTTGCCGCGCAATCTAATGGAGGACAACGCGCGTGTTTGTTTGTTTGTGTGTGTGTGTGTGCGTGTGTGTGTGTGCGTGTGTGTGTGTGCGTGTGTGTGTGTGTGGTGGGAGTGTGAGTGTGTGAGTGTCTAAAAGGGTGCCACTGAAAGAGAGTGCGCCAATATGAGAATATGACTTACGCCCGAATCTTGTGCGCCCGAGTATTTGCTTAGACGAGGCGTGTGGGTCTCAATCGAGGAGCCGTAAATTGATTTTGTAAAGGATCCTAGAACCCCACTGCCACATTGCAGCAGAGGAGGGAGGGGGGGAGCAGGGACTCACACTCTTGTGGGCTACCGGTGCATCGGACATGCAGTCTAGGTAGAGTGATGTAGGTACGGGATTATGAAGAAAAACATATAAGGTTAAATTAGATTACG